AGGAAAAAAACCCCATTCACTTTTAATGCTATCGTATGAGGGGAAATTTTAGTAAATGTAAAGGACAGTTCCATTCAGAACAAAGTCAAGAAATGATTTTGGCAATTATGTGATTAATTTGAGTAATGTAAACAGATATACAAGAACATTCAGTTTTGAACATGATTTTTAAACATGTACATATTATCTCATGTGGCCAGTGATGCTAGTTAAATGCATCAGACCAGAACTAAGTGTTCAATCTGGTCAACATGCCAAGATCTCGCCTAGATAATAAGTCATAAAATTAGACAGGTGAGGTGGAGCACACCTGTAGGCCCAGCTACTTGGAAGGCTGAGGTAGAAGGATCACCTGCGCCCAGCAGGTTGAGGCAGCGGTGGCCATGATTGTGCCACTACACTCTAGCCTGAGTGACAGAATGAGATTCCAACTAAAAAAAAATTAAATAAACAAACAGAAAAATTGATACCTGCCCATGGGGTGCTTGGCAGAAACAAACACAAAACCTTGCTGGGAACAAATTCATATAAGATGTTTGGGAATTTCCTCAGAAGAAACAATCGCCACTGAAGATAAGCTGACAACTAAACAATGCAAAATAAACCCCAATCTTTTTTTTTTTGAGTCAGAGTCTCACTCTATAGCCCAGGCTGGAGAGCAGTGGCATGCTTACAGCCACAGAAGCCTTAACCTGCTAGGCTCAGGTGATCCTTCTGCTCAGTCTTTCAAGTAGCTGGAACTATAGGAGCGCCACCTAGCCTGGCTAATTTTTCTTAATTTATTGTAGAGATAAGGTCTTGCCAAGTTGCCCAGGCTGGTCTCGAACCAGTGGGCTCAGGAAATCCTTTCACCTCAGCCTCCCAAAGTGCTGGGATTAAGGTGTGTCACCACACCGGCCACAGACTCCAATCTATATCTGGCAAAAGTCCATAGACATAGACATCAAGCAAAACAATAAAGGAAGCTTTAGAGTTGGTCCCTTTACCAACAAAAACTGGTAAATTGGGAGAAATGACCAGGATCAACTAATTCAGAAGGCTGGATCTTTTTTTTTTTAGTCGGAGTCTCACTCTGTCGTCCAGACTGGAGTGCAGTGGCCGCTCCCGGCCACCACAG